TAGGGACCACGTGGGGACCATGGGGCGGCCGTGTGGCAGGTGTGCCGGGGGCCATGTGGAGGCCGTGCAGGGACCATGTAGGGGCCGTGAGGCAGGCGTGCCAGGGGCCATGCGGGGACCATGGGGCGGCCGTGCAGCAGGCATGCCAGGGGCCATGCGGGGACCACGTGGGGACCATGTGGGGGCCGTGCGGCTGGGCGGTGCAGGGCACCTTGGAAACAAGGAAACACTGAAATTCGGACATTCAGTCAATGCCTATGATCGTGTGTCCAGAGCTGCCACATCTAAAAACTCTGAAATCTAAGTCACTCACATGAAGGTGCCCGGGACCAGTGCTTCCTGGACTCTATGGGACAGGCTCCCGCCCGGCCTCCATGGCCGCCTCCTCAGTGGACAGCCTACCCCCCACACCCCCCCGCCCCAGGAGTGTGTGCCTGGGACCCTGAGGAGTGCGGGCCTGCCCTGCTCCATGACGAGTCCCACCCGGAACCGCAACCACCCCGCGTGTGGAGACGGGAGCGCGGGCTCCTGGGCTGTGCGGCGTGGACGCTTGCGGGAGGGTCTGGTGGAACCTGGTCACTCGGCCCCTGACCCATCCCTTCTCCACCCTCGTCCCAACGTGGTTCTTGGAAATGATCTCCCAGGTCGTGGCTGGCAAACGAGCGGGCATGAGCGCGCGTCAGGGACGCCGTCACCTGGGGCTGGAGTGCGGTCCTCCCTCCGGCTTCGCAGGGTCTGTGCTGTGGATCCCAGGACGGGCAGACCCGATGCCCAGGCTCCAACCCACCCAGCACGTGGACCCTGCCCTCGGCCGCTGGGCCAGCCTCCGCCCACGGCTCCCCTGACGGGGGTTTGCCCACCGCCTCCCCGTCCCATGCCCCTCCCAGCACAGGCACAGGCACAGGCCAGCCAGACGCTGCTGCCTTCGACAGGAGGGGCCGTGCCCACTGTCTCACGGTCAGCACCTCCGTTCCTTCCCCAGTGCCCAGCGGGTGCCTGACCCACTGAACAGACACCGGCAGAGCAGCACGAGGACTCGCCTGCCGCTCGGTGCTGTGGCTCTGCTCCAGACCCAGTGCCCCTGCTTGCGCCTGCTGGCCTCCCGCCCACTCCCACTGACAACGGGGCTGAGGTCGTCCCGTCACCACGACACGTTCCTGTCTGGGTGAAGCCTGCAGGCCTGGACAGAGCCCCCTCCTTCCTGTTTATCTCAGAGCGGCAGGAAAATGAGTGGAAGGGCCCAAGTCCCGCCGAGGCCTGTGCAAGTGATATCCGCGGCAGGTTTCCCCAGACACGCTCTGCCTAGGGCCCACGCGGGTTCCTGTTTATTCCCGCGGGAATGCTCGGTCCAGGCTGCTGGGGCACAGGGGGCCCGGCGCCCTCGGGCAGAACGGCTTCTCTGTGGGCAGTGTTCCTCGGCGGCACAACCCCGCTCATCCCCCTCTTCTCCCCTCCGTGCCCCCAGGATCCACCTGAAGGGCCTCACGGGGTCAGCCGGCAAGATCAGCAGCATCAGCCAGCCGGGGAGTGACTTCAGCACCAAGGATGCGGACAAGGACCGGTGCATCTGCAAGTGCGCGCAGATGCTCACGGGAGGTAGGCCTTCCTGCCTGTGTGGGCGAGGGCCCTGCACCGGCCGGGAGATGACAACGTCACCTCCGTAGACAGGCCTGCCCGCGGGAGACGCTCGCTTCCCGCCTGTCCACCTGGAGCTGCTCCCACCGGCTAGCACTCGGGCACCGGGGTGGAGGACGGTGACTCAGTCAGGGCCACAGCGCAGAACATAACAATGTAAACACCGCACCAGAGTATTTTCCAAAGAAACAAAACATCCCGCTACAAGTACAGCCACTGCCCCAACCCCGCCCGAGCTAACTCTGCGCGAGGTTCATTCACCTCATGTCTCCTACATACGGGATGTCAACAGCCATGCTCCCGCCTTCCGTGTCTTAGTTTCATATAAATGGCATCACTCTCTCTGTCCTTCCAACACGATGTTTCAGGATTTACTCAGATCCACGCCCTCCCTGCAAACCTGGGCACCTGTGGGCTGGGTTAGGGTGAGAGCAGGTGCCAGGCACTGGGTGCCACTGGGTGCGGATGGGGACCCAGCCCCCGCTGTGCCACACACTCACCCAGCTTCACCCAGGGAGCACCGCTACGGCTTTAAACTTTTTATATCTAGCTCCACTGGACACTTAAAACTTGGGGTTATATTTTAAACAAAAAGAATTTCTCAGGGGGCGGGGAGCCTGGATCAGTCAGTTCACTGAGCGGGGGCACTGGAAAGGGTGTGGCTGCCAAGAGCCACCCCGAGGCCTTGGCGACCCCATCCAGACTTTCTGACTCCCACGCATGGCCGTGGCCTCCCCACCCAGCGCCAGAGCAGAGGGAGAAGTCTGTCCGAGCCCTGCTCACAGTGCAGGGGGCACCCGCCCCTCCGCGGCCCCGCCCAGGGCACGCAGGACACCCTCACATAAAACGCAGTGAGTGTGCTGCGTGGACCGGCGGTGGCTCTCCCGGGAGGGCGGTCCCGTCCTCACCCTCTGCTGCACTTCACAGGCTGGTGGTTCGACGCGTGTGGCCCCTCCAACCTGAACGGAATGTACTACCCACAGAGGCAGAGCAGCAACAGGTTCAATGGCATCAAGTGGTACTACTGGAAGGGCTCGGGCTACTCGCTCAAGGCCACGGCCATGATGATCCGGCCTGCGGACTTCTGAGGCCGGTGCCCGCGGCACCCTCCGCCTGAACCCGGGGGACACGGCTGCGTCGTCCCTCCACCCAGAGGGTCACGTCCGGGCCTGAGTCCGAGCCCTTGAAACCCCCCACGGACACCTGCCCTGCTCGGCAACCCCAGCACAGCCCGACCTTCGCCCCGTGACCTGCAGGCGTCTGCGCAGATGAGCTCAAGCTGCACATGAGAAGGCGGCTTGCGGGCTCCGTGTCACGCCGTGTCAAGCGCATCAGCGAATAACTGGAAACAGCTCTGGGCTCCGGGGCCGTCTGTCTGCATCCACGCCCCGCCCCGTGCACAGACTCAGGGGCTCCCTGGGAGGGTCACAGTGCCTGTGCCCTCCTCTCGAGTGCTTTACATTTTCATTTGAAAATAGCGTATTTGCATAGGTGTCGCCAGCTTAGTTCTAAGCTAATGCTCAAAAACAGATGTCAAGTTTATATGGAGAAATTCCCAGGATGTATTCTTTTATTTTATGTAAAGATTGTACTACTTTTTTTGCTGCCTGTTAACTATGAAGTTATTTTAGTAATTAAATATAACTTATGAGATGACGACATTGAACTTTCATGATAATATTTACAATCCCATTTAATTCCAAAACAACGACCGTGCGTCCTGACCAGGACTCTCCCTCTCAGGACAGACCCGCCCTCACCCACCAGCCCCTGGGCGGGCAGGCCGAGGAGGGGAAGCCCAGACGTGGGGCGTGCACGAACCTGTACCGCTCGAGCTAAACGCCCTCCTTAAGTTATTTCAGGAAAAAGTAATCTGTATTAGTACGGTATTTACAAATGTCTACCAGGAAACTTTGAAAAGGGGGTTTTGACGTACAAAACCGAAATCTGGTGCTCACCGCGCAGTTGCTCGCCCAGGCCGCACCCAGGCCCAGGCCGCACCCAGGCCCCGACCTGGTCTAACGCGGCAGCTGCCCCGCGGTGAGCACGGCCGCTCTGAGCTGGGAGGCCCTCGGGCATCTGGTTTCCACCCAGTTGCCAGGCAGCTCAGCCAGCTGGACAACCAGCCACTGTTCACGGGTCTTCACCCTCTTCCGTCCCCCAGCGCCGTGTCCCTTAGTCCGCGCTCTTCTCTAACTGCTGTGGCCCCACAGGCCGCCCGCCCCCGCAGCTCATCACAGACTGGCCGGTTGGGGGCGCTCCTCGCTCCGTCCCTCTGACCAGCGTGAGGCTTTATAACCCACCAGAGGCGCCCGCTGTGTGTGGGAGAGAGAGCATCTGATGAGACGCACGGCTGGAAGGGCAGCACGTTCCAGGTCTCAGTGAGCCCGCGGCAGAGCGAGGGGAGGCCGGCATGGGAGAGACCGGCCACGCCACCACGCACACGGCTCACCCACGCAGGCAGGTAGGTCAGGCGCATTTCAATGGTGACCCGCCCGGTGCCCGCGGGGCTGCCTGTACTCTCGTGCGAAGGGGACCTGGTGTGTAACTCTACGCTTCACTTCCTTACATGGATGTCAAAGGGCCGCGCCGAGAGGACATTTTTCTCTCCTTAAGAAAACATTTATGAAGTGGACAGGAAATCAAAGCAGTCGTCTTACAAATGAAAACAAAACAACCCAACAACCTGAGAGCCACAGCGATTCAGGGCAGAGGTCAATGTCTTGTCATGTGATCATCACCCCAAACACTCGAGCGGCCAAAACGCACCAAGGCTGGTGCCGAGACCATCGCCGTTCGTCTTCCAGGTCACAACCTCCTGCGTGAACAAACCGTCACACACCAGCCGCCAGCTGCGCAGTCCTGCTCCCCAGCCGCCCGAGACCACCTGCGGGATCAGGCCCCAGCCTTTGGAAACCGGGCCCCAGAGCCTCCCCGTTCGCATGGGTCAGATCCAAGCCGAGTTTAGGGAAACGGGAAAACAAAGCCGCGGCGTGCTGCTGGAGGCCACGTTTCTACACCCATCAGTCCTGTCTCTACGGCAGCAACAGCATCACCTTTCAAAGCTGCGAGCGATACGGAGTTCCTTCTCAAGACCCCGCCTTCTCACTTCTGTTTCTCAGTCCCTAGGGCTCCATAATTAAGACTTTTTGAGAATGCATTCTCACAACTTTTTGCAAAGATTTTCACATTTGTTCTCACAGATACATAGATTAAAAAGTACTCAGTTCTGTGGATGTTTTTAGTTTTCTTAGTTATGGGCATAAGTGTTCTTGATTTAATAAACATGAGCCCTCAGCTTGGCTAATAACAGTTTCTCAGGACATTGTAGCTGTGGCTCCACCACAAGGTAACGCGTGACTCACCGGAGCTGCGGGAAAGGAGTCGCAGAGTTCGAAGGGCTCCTCAGAAATCCAGTGACCCAGCTCCAAAGACCACAGGACCTGCAACGGCACAGAAAGCAGCATTTTAAATATTTACTGTTAAATATTCTGCGTGAATAACAAGCCATCTCGAAGATCGAGCAAAAGGAAAACCCAGCGGCGAGTGCACCCTCAGATCAGAGCAGGCGTGTTGCACCCCGAAGGGCCCCAGCACCTCCAGCGGCACACACGGCACACGGGTAAGGGCCTGGCCAGGTGACGTCGCGTGCTGACTGGACGCCAGGGCCATTGTCCCATGGAGGCCACATACGACCAGAGACCACCCTGCTCCTTGACACGGAACAGGGCGTTTCTTTAAGACGACACGTTTCCAACTTAAGGAGGCAGGCAGACGAGGCTCAGGAAGTGTTTCCACGGCCTTATTAAAAGAAAGGCACGCAAATCAGGAGAAGACAGACCACAGGCCTAAACGTATGCAGCAACCCGTGGTGTGTGCCTGTTCCTGACGTCGCCTGACTTTCAGAAGTTCCCGGAGCACACGTGAGACTCCCAGACCGTGAAGAGGAAGTGTCTCATCAACACGCTTCCATCAGCAGCAGCATCTGAGTCCACTCATTCAAACCATCAAAACGGAGTTTTCATTTTGATTCAGACGCCTGAGGCTCGGGCGCCGTCTGCTCTGTGACCGAATCCCTCAGCCTGTCTCTTCGCTCCGGCAGGACTCACAACCGGAGTCACCACATAACGCACGTGTCGGTCACACCACGTCTGATACCCTTCTTCCCGCAGTGGCTACACAGTCCTTGTGGCTGAAGTGCTGCTCCCTTTGGGAGTTCCTACAGCTCAGCACCACCTACGGGAGCCGGCCTGAAGCATCCCCTCCTGCCAGCACAGCCAGCACGACCCACATGGGACGGCCACGCTGTTTCTAAGAGCAAGTGCGTGTGGCGGGGAGGTCGGGCACAGGGCACGGGGTCCGAATGCTACCCCCAGCACTGGCCTGGGCCTGACAGACACGTGGAGTCACCCACAGCTCTTTCCTGGCTCATGTATCGCTCATCTGTGACCATGAGCAGGATCCCATGCCAAGTCCTGGAAATACACCCAGACCCCGAGGAGGCCGCCCGGGGGGGGCGGACCACATGGGGTGCTCCAGCACAGGCCGTGGGAACCCAGAAGGGAAGCCAAATGGCTGCCTAGCAGGGGCGGGGAACCTTTCTCGCCAAGGGCCGTTGGGAGATTTACAGCATCATCCTCGGGCCACACATTAGCAACTGACTTGGTCCAACATTTAATGAGCTCGGCAGGGTCAGACCAAGCGACTTCCCGGGCCTTCGATCCGTGGACGCGAGGCTCCCCACCCTGGCCTAGGAGAACCCAGAAAGGGTCGGCCACGAGCTGACGTCACACGGAGCTCAGCAGGCAGGGGGGAGGGGACGCCAGCCAAGACGGCCCTTTTCCGGCTGGAGTGGGGTGCTCTGGAAGAAGGGTAGGAAGACGGGGGGGGCCCATTGGGGAGGCATGAGAGATGCTGTTTCTTTCCCCGTGTGCTGGGGGCCTCGGCTCGGGGCAAGAGGATCAGGAGAAAAGCCAGGAGCGAGCACCCGGGCTGGGCCTCCTCGGCCTGGGGAGCAGCAGGCCCAGGGAACCTGCCTCCGTGGGAGAGGGGTCGGCAGGCTGTGTGCTCGGGACCCGCTCTGTCTCCAGTTGGTCCTGTGAGGCCACGAGCATTTTGCCAATTAGGCCGCTTTTTGGTTGTCCCTGGTTTTCACTGCCTAACCAACATTAAAAAAAAAAAAGACTTGGGAAGGTCAGTGAAAGGAGGTTTGATAAGTGTGGAAACTCGACACTGAAGCCCTGCTTCCCCGCTCTCTCTGGGAGGTTAACACTCAGAATCACTGTTCTCCTGACTTTATCGGCCGTGTCACTGACAGAAACACGCCAGCTGCGTGGTTCCTCACAGGCACATGCTGAGCCCAGGCCCCGGGCTCGGCGTGGACCGGAGGCAGCGTGACCGGCAGGAGGCCAGGAGCACACAGTGCCCGAGCCAGAGTGGCACTGAGTTCCAGTAGGAGCCACACAAAAATGCCACCGATTCAAAAGCCTCCGGGGAAACTTGTTCTCTGAGCTGGTCCCTCTAAATGTTACGGAAATAAAGCCTAGGACATCGACAGTACAGCTTTGGTAAGTGAACTGTGTTTCATTTCTCTACGTACTCAAAGAATGAAGTTCACAGAGATAGCAGGAAATAGATTCCACTGTAAGGAAATCAAATCAGAAATATACTACAGGAAGAAGTACACACTTTTCCCTTTAGTGCCTTCACCAGCCAAACTGATCTTTACCTCCGTATTCAAAACAGAGAAAGTATATTCTGCCAGACAACAGTCAGGCCCATAAGTGACCTTAAAAATGAAAAGTTAACCCAACATATTTCCCATCAGATACGTGACAGAAAGTCACTAAGAAGCCAAGCAAAGCAGGGATGGAATTGAAGGGGTACAGAGGGTGCACCCCAGGAGTCACAGCCCTGACAGGAGGGTATTTCAGATTCACCACACATGAACATATTTCTCACACTCGTAAAGCATGAACCTTGTGAATTCAACGAGAAACCATTTTCTTGCCTTATTGTTTGATCGACAGCAACTGATGATACCACGTTCCATAATGTGGGAGCCCTGACTCCGTGCAGCCCAGACCCGCCCGCATCCATGCTCTCCTCGCTTTATGTACATCATTCCACTTGGGGGGTGGGGGTGGGGGCAGTGATTGCAAACCAGCCGGAAACATGCTGTCAAGCGCACGGCAGGGAGAGCATCCCACACGAGGACGAACAAAGTCGCCTCCGGTCACACGGCACCTTCAGCACACGCCCACAGGCAGCTGAAATGATGGGGTCAAAGGCAGGGAAGGGTCCGCAGCAGAGAGCTGGCCGAGAAGCTGGCTCCGTGGTCAGGGCTCAGAAGGGTGGCGCACAGCTGGGAGGCAAGCGTCCAGAGAAGGAGGTCGACAGGGAGTGTCCAGTGACCGCTCCCGACTCCCTGAGACGGGGACAGGCGGCAGGAGAGAAGCCTGAAAAGGGTGTCGAACAGGGAAAAGGGGCCTCTCCTCCCCGCCCACTCCCTCCGGGACGAGGCAGACGTGAAGCCAGACAAAGCAGAACTGGACGGTCGGCCCTCACGCTGGCCACCAGCGAGGCCCTGAGCAGGACACGGGTGTGCCTTCCTAGGGCAGTGACCGCCGCGGAAAAGGCAGACACACAGACACGACACGTGGCCTCCCTCCATCCAACCCCACCCACATACATCCCACCGTCCACACGCCGCCCGGCACGCAGCTCACAGCACGCGGCAGGGCCGGACATCACCCGCGATTCATGCCATGAGCTACGTCTCTACAATAAAGACATGGGCCAAACCAAACACAGGGGCTTCCCAGGACCTCCCTGACAGGCCCGGTACCAGCGGAGCCACAGCCTCGCGAGGACCCGTCTCGGGGGGAGCGGCAGGGGTCCCGGTCGTGGTGCCCAGCAAAGCCTGCGGGACGGGAAGGCTCCCTGGTGGCAGGCAGGGTGAGAGGACCGGGATGATCTGACATCCCCATCCCGGCAGCGACTCGACAGGCACACAGAGAAGGAAGCCATCGAGACAGTGTGAACGGTCACCTCAGGAGAAACAAACAAAACTACCCAAAAGGAATGGAGTCAGCACATTACACGGCTCAGCTCAAACAGCACTCACATCAGACCCACGCGTGCGCGTGTGACTGCGTGTTCATACTCCTCTATAGAACTTCACACAGAAACTGTCACCACAGGGGGCAGACGGGGTCCTGGTTCAGTCTTCCTCAGACGTCTACAGATAATGCCCCAATACAGCAGGAGGGCATTTCCATTAGAAACACGCAGGTAAACCATCGGAAGGCTGTTTTAAGGGGGGAGCTGGGCTCGGAAACAACGGGCAGGCAGTGGCAGTTTCATGATAAGCCTCATAGATTACACTGCACTTCGGAAAACGTCAGCCGTGCAGGAGTCGCCCCCACGGTTCAGAGCGTCCTCATTCCCGTCCCTGGAGTCTTCCCCTGTGGGTCCCTCCAACTGGCTCGTTTCAAAAGTGCTCTGCTGACCAGACCCACTTGTCGAGATCTGCACAAACCTCGTGCTGGGCTTGTCCCCAGAACTGGGGTGAACCCACAGACCAGACGTGTAGAGGGTGCCACACCCTCCAAGGCACAGCCTCTGCCCGTTTACCTTGGTTTGGTTTGATTTCGTTCACAAGTTTTGTAGTTTTCAACGAACAGATCCTGCCAATATTGTCAGATGTAAACTTAAGTACTTTCATTTCTGGGTGTAATGTAAATTGGGCTAAAAAGTATTAGAATTCCAGTTGTTCATTTCTCGTAGACAGAAATACAACTGAATTGTGCATATGACCTTGCCTGTAACCCCGCTGGGCTCGGGCTACGAGCTGTGGGAGCTTCTCTGTGCATCTCCTGCGTGTGGGCAGTCTATGCCCCCTGCCCCATAGGCGTCTTTATTTTCCTCGCCTTGTTGCCTCAGCTAGGGCTCCTCAGCAGGAGCAGCCAAGCCGCATGACCCACCCTGTGAGGCAGCTTCGTGTGGATTATAAGACCGGGATGATCTGACATCCCCATCCCGTGGGGAAGAGCATAAACCGTGTCCTGTGTATCAATTCGTGTTTCTACGGAAAGTGGAGGCTTTCCCCCTTCGTTTCATCTGTTTTTAAGCAAAAAAGCATAGACTGTTACCCAGTCCTGGTGCTGGCGAATGGTCATGGTGCTCTCGCCAACCGCCTGAACTTCTTGTTCCCCGGAGAATCAGAAAGTTCCAAGTGGTCTAAAGTACTACGGCTCAACATCCACAAGTGTCCCTTTCCAGGACAAAAACCACCAAATTACCTTTTCCTAACATTCACCTTAATTTCTTAATATTTTCTTAATTTCCTAAGAACTCTTCTTAAGTGTTTAAAAAAGACCGCCCTAGCTGGTTTGGCTCAGTGGGTAGAGCATCGGCCTGCGGACTGAAAGGTTTCACACTC